CCCCCCCCCCCCCCCCCCCCCCCCCCCCCCCCCCCCTCTCGTTCACCACTCGCACCTGCATAAGTTCCTAGCTTTCTTGATAAAGGGAAAACCTCTCAAAAGGTGTAAGCTTTTCTAATAAACTGTTAAAAAAGCAACAGTCAAAGCTAGAAGAACCATCAGTTCCTCGTCCCTACTCCCCCTCCCCCTCACGCCTTCCGCATTCTTGAATTCCTGAATTTTTAAAGTTTAATGTTAAAAGGCATTTTCCTTTCCGTTCTCTTACCAGTTGATCCTTCCAAAAAAGCAAATCTGTGTTGCTCACAACGCATAGTTTCAATAATTATTTTTTTTTTCCACTCCTTCTCATAGAATACGTACTATTTTGATATATTAATCAAATGTTGTTTCATCGTCCCGTTTCTTCTCGTTACTGATGCAACTGGCAACTTTTTTATTCTTTTCTATTTTGGGCTTCTCTTATTCATATAGCTGTTCAGGAAGATACTTCCACCAAATTAGCAGTCTTTCCTATCTTTTAACATTTGTGCATGTTTAATTGACAAAATCTTTTCTTCACCGAAGGTAGAACTATTAATTGGATGTATTTGTGTATAAGACTCTTTTATCCTGTCCAGCTGCTTGCAGTTGTTTTTCGAACTTCCCGTCCAACGTATCTATTTCAGCTCTTTAATGGTCACTGCGTGAGTGACCAGCACCTCAACTACCACTCACTGATGATGTCCACGTTGTTTTTACGTTCTCAGGATAAAAAGGAACCACTGGAATGTATATTTTTAATTACCTGTGCACCGCATGCAACACCTCGATGAGTTGTGCGACACTTCTGGAGCAGTTGGTCGATGTTCTCCTGTTCCAGGAGACGGCGCTGCTGTAATCGCAGGGCACCCGAACTAGGCGGCTGCGAAACGCTGGCGCTACGTTTTCCATGTTGCCTGTTCTGGAACTGCTGGTGCGATGAGTAGTCGTCAAGTTTGCCGTATGCAGCTGCTGTAGCTGCCATCGGATAATCGGACAACGAACTGCAAAGATCCACGATTTGCGCCTAAGTTTATGGATTAGAGAAAATGATGAAGATAACTCAGTATGAATTATAGATCAGAGATAATGCATCTAAACATCACAAGTATCGGCGGAAATGCCGAAAAGCAGTCTGTGTTTCATCTCTCAGCTGTAATATTAGGTTTTCCGTTTCTGGCACTGCGAAATCAGATTAAGTTACGGGAAGCAAAAATTAGCAAACGTCCATGATAGATACGTTATCTACGTAAAATAGACTAAATAAAACCCATTATGAAAAAGTCGTAAATTTTCAAAAACTGAATTTGAATTAGATTATTTACACTAAAACCAATACAATTTGTCTTGCAGCTCCCTATTCTTCCTGGAAATCAATACTATTCCCATTATGCGAGTAATTCCCCGAAATCCAGTGATTTACCGGTTATAATATGAAAGATACAAACGAAGGGTTTGATCCGTGAAAGGCCCAAGTTTAAGTACAAATGGTAAAAGTGGAAAAATTGTGGACTTAGTAAAAGTGGAAAAATTACAGATGCTTCGAAAATGAGGCTTCCTGACAAGATTTCTCATTTTTCGAGGCATCTGTAATTTTGATAAAGAAAAAAAGAATATTTCGTTAGTTTTCTTATTAACAGTACCAAGAAATACTTTCAGCTGGTACCCACTGGCTACTATTCGGAAGGTTTTCGCTGCATTTTGTAATTTTTACGACAAAAATTTTCAGGTAAAGGGATTAAATAAAAAATAAAAAAGATTCTTCTTCACAGAAAACTATAAATACCCAAACCAAAGTTAAAATTTCCTCTGCATTTGGAAAGAGCCCAATAATTGCCGACATATACCCGCTGGCAAGGTTATCGTTGGTTCCTCTTCTGAGGGCTGTTTGAGAGAAAACTTGAAGGTAATATGAATTCGCTGGAATGCTAGGCACGCCAATACCAATTTGTCATCGAAACGACCATCAAAAATTGCAAGGGAATGATTTTCCTTGAATTTCATGCTTTTGAAAAATTCTCCAAAAAAGTGGGCCATTTTCGTTCTCCAGAAAAAATCTCGACAAAATTCATGATTTTATAAATCATGAAATCAGTCATTTCACACACTTCCGAGTTGATCCAAAGCAGCTACTCGTTTAAAGGATAGCTTATTACTTCCGGCTGCCATAAACACTTCCCTCTCCATGAATCCGTTGCCTTATTCACTAAAAAAGTGTTTATGCAACTCTCCCCTAGCAAATTTGCTTTCGCCTATTTTGGGGAAATTTTCCCGGAACTTGGTAGCGCACATACATCGAACAGGCGGTGAGTAATTACTAAAGGTATGCAGGCCAAAATCGAAGGATCCGGCGTTCGGCGCGTGAGAGCATCCCAGTAACATTACTAGTATGGTATACCAAAACCGATTTTTCCGATGAAATTAGTTTTTCGGGATTAGTGATACCCAAAAAAAGAGTTGAAAAAAAAACTGCATCGAGCCTTGAAACCGGTTTATTCTTATCTACACGACTGTGTCCTGCATTTTTTTCCGAGGATTTTTATGGGATCTGTTAGTGAACAGGTGTAGCCACTATGCAGGGTCGTTTGGTGGTAGTACTGCACACACCGAAATCGAAAATACCCTTTTTTTGACCCCTACATTACCCACTCTTTCTACCTTTATGAGGAGACACTGTAACGGGGTCAGTTATTTCTAGCATATTCAAACAGGGACTTTGAGTATAAGGCATAATTTACGACAGCATTTACATTCTCTGCTTTAATTCAGTAAGGTGCCCTGCCGTGGAACATTCAAGGCAGAATGGTGATGCTCAGCAACACCAATGATACCTCGGAACGACTAAAGTTTTGCCATCGAGAGAGCTGTGAAGTCCGTAATTTTCCCAGGAGATGAAGTAAATATTAGGATCGCCAGTAGGCTGACCATCAGGTGATGTAGCACTGGTCAAAGTAACTGACAAGTTGGAGAATCACGATGTGAATTGAAGTGCTTATGCCGTAAGGAATCTTGGATTTGTACACCTGCACCAACATGCTTTTTGTATCGAAATTAAATAAATGTTGCTAGGATGATGCTCTTTTTTGTAGTGTTCGTTTACAAGGACAGTGATATTTCACGACAACATCTAAATAAAATTGACCTTGACTCAGCCAGGTGAATGAGAGGGTCTCCAGGGTAACGATTTATGGTCGTCTGAGGGGAAATCCTTAGACCAATTAGTCAAGGACGATTCTGTTAAAATAAAAAACAACTGTTAAAATAAAAAACAACTATGCTCGCCTGATATTTAGGTGCAACGCTCATTAACGTAGGAAGTTTTACACCGACAGTTTTTCTGATCTTGGCAAAAACATCGCCGTTGCCAAATACTGAATTTTTTCCGAACATTCAACTTCTGCTAATCTCGCCTTTTTTGGTATTTTTGGTGTCAACGCCTATTTAGAAGTCAGGTTGTTATGAGCCAAAAACCTTCGATTTTCATTTTTTTAAGTTTTTTAATCTTAATTTTTTACGGAAGTTTTATGATTCAAATTTTCTTCCTGTTTTTATGATTTTCCTCGGGCGTCACAATACATGTTTTTCTGCCCAAAATCCTCCAAATACTTACAGACATTATCAAGCAGCTACTTATTTAGGCAATGCCAAGGACATTCAAAATGTAAAAAGCCACTGCACCTCGGCCATCTGTAGTCAAGAATTTCCAAGCACAACAAGGCTTTTGTTACGAAGTCGGGAAAGTTAATGATGGGATTTGAGCACATTTCGCTAGAATCGGCCCTGAATGGATGGAAATTGTCCTCCAATATGAGGCCTTTTCCGAGTCTTTCGCTCTTCCCTCCCCTAATCTCCTTTTCGGAAGTACACCTTCAGTATCCACTGTAATGTGATCAACAGGATGAATTCATTTCACGCGTGCTACCTGTCCTGTATGTTTGCTTACTGGACCATCCACAGAATCCAACAAGGATTTCCTCGGTGTTATAAATACTACAGCAAATTTGTAGCTTTTAAAACAGATTTGGAAAAATATGAATGGAAAAACTCTCAACGTAAAGAATTAGGGTTGCGGGGAGGGGGAAGAACACATTTATCAGCTACTTTGCAAACAGCTTAAGACTGCTCTTAATAAGTGGACTTTCAAAAAAGTGGATATTTTCAACATAACAAAATATGACAATATCAACACTGCTCAATTGTTCGGCGTAAGAATCCCATCTTACTGAAAATACTACACGCATGGAATAGCTACCAGACTTTTAGCATACCACTGTATGTACAGTATATTTGCGCCACCTCTTCAAGGACCACCCGAGTGGTCGTTTACTTTTCTTGTGAGTACCACTCATTAATGCGCAACGTTTACCAGTTGTTGATAAAGTGAATAATATGCCTTGCTCATGGGATCTTATCATAAAGTATAAAAATTATTAAGATACTGCTGATTTTTACAGTAAAAAAGATTTGGAATACGAATCCTGGGCAAAAAGATAGCTTTTCTCTCACCTTAACAAAGTTTACCGTCAATGTACAGTTAAAAAGAAACGGACCTGCCAGTGAGGTCGTCGGTCGATATATCCTCGAAATTCTCCGATATACCACTCGAAATCGACGAGCTATCTTCGAAACTGAAAAAAAATGATTTTTGCTTTTTGAATTCATTTACTTGCTACAAAAACTCCATTCTACAATTTTCACTCTTCCTTCCGCAAAACGAAAACAGACATACGTCACTTCAGTAATAACACGACCATTAACGGCATCCGAGGTTATCTGTAATTCTTTGCTGAGAATCACCTCAAAGATGAAACTACAGGCTGCTTATTTATACCAAAAAAAATGGCAAAGACAGAAAAAATATACTACGCAAAGTACGTCGCGGACCGGGTCTGGAACGTTCAAGCCAAGGTACTGGTACTCAACACACATCTATAACACCTCGATAAAATCCTTCCAAATGTCAAGAGAACAGCTGAGCCGGTAATTCCTAAATGTGTTTGAAAGCCAGTGGAATGTCTATCATCTGATGCAATGCTGATCAAAACATCAATCAAATGTAGCTAAGTTGGACCTCCATACTTCATGCTAACTCTGCTCAATGATTATTCGTCACCTTCAAGAACCAGTTTGTGTACCATCTTTCTGGCACTTCTCGAGACTTTTATGTGACCTTGTTTATTAACAGATTCTTTATTGCGCGACATGTTACTATCGGAAATCAATTATTAAAATTGTCTAAATGTTCTTTATAATTCCCATTCCAACTAAACAAAAACTCAAATTTCTCCTCTTCTCCTTTATTTTTGTTCTTTTTTAACGCTGCAATTGCCATGCTAACGAGGTTCAGTTCTGGTGCTGGAAAGGATCGTATATAACTTAGTGGACCGAAACATTCCTATTCAGAAATTTCTCTTTTAATCCTATTTATTCCGAATTGCCCCTTCTTTTCAAACTTCACCTAACCTATTATCTTCAAATTTTACTTTTAACGCTTTTCGAGTATAGCTTGAAACAGGAAAGCCCGACATAAGCATGACTTCGACAACCAAAATCACAGACTCACACATTTGGCAATTTTTTTTTTTAATTTTACTTATCCGGATTGCAGTGATGAAATTCTAGGCTACTAAAAGCTGACATC